AGAAAAGGTACCAGTCATAAAAAATTTGGTGAGAACAAAATTCTTACTTCACTTAGAGAGCGGAATGTTTGACCAGTAGCCAGAGTGGAAGAATTGTCACTGCTGGAAAATGTCTGAAAAAAATACACCAGACACCAGACATTATTTTCTCCATGAATAATTCAGTCAGGCATGACAAAAACATTTGTCCTTGAAATAAATACATACAGGTCTAACATCTCTTAATTTATCAACAAAATAAAGAAAAAACGATATAWCTTGTTTGACATCATTTAGATAATACCAAAGCTATAGCTATGATCCAATTTTTTTTCACAGTGCGAGAATACATTATGGAAAATCACCTGCAAAATGCATTTATGCAAAATATTTCCGGGAGATATAAAAATGGATAAAAAATATTGGAAAAATTACTATGCTTACATTCAAACTGGAAATGCTGGACACAGAGTTTGCCACAACTCGCCTATATTTGTGTCTTGGTGAATAGAACTTGTAGTCCTGAGTAGACACAGCTACCTCACTGCGACCTGTCAATCGTCTAAACCTACACAATGAAGCAATTTAATCAGCAAAATGTTGACCTAAACTGGAAATAGAAATCAAAATACTTGCTACCGATTCTTGGAGACAGGTGAATAAACTCTGTTCGCATCTAGATTTTTCTTTGCAGGGATGGCCAAGTCTTGATTATCAACAAAACAAAATTTGACCAAATAAAAGGAAAAGGGTATTCTGAAGATCTTGAGTTACATTTTTCCCAAGGATTGAAAGGATTTTATTGCTCACTCTCTCAAGTAGTCCAGGATGTTCAACTAAATGGAGGAACAAGGCAAGCGACTCTGCAGATTGGTTTGTAGACTCCATCTGCATTAATAATATCAACTTCACTGCCCTTCAGATGGGCTCCTAATATGGTTAAGTGGTTAGATACCACAACCCCAACATCCTTACAATGGTGGACCTTCATATTACACGGTCATCTTAATTCAACCTTTTGATGATAATGTAGATGCCATGTAAATTGATTGTAAGGACTGTGGAATCTTTTCAGTTTGACTGAATAAAAATTGTTTAGTTTGTTCTTCAAAAAAAGTTTTCTTGTACCTTTTCTATTAAAAAAATAGTTCTGATATCAAATATTTTACTTCTTTTCACTGTGAACTGTTGACATAATAGATATATTATGTCTTTTAACACAATGCCATCACAATTTTTTTTTTATTTGATTAGAAAAAACAAGATTTTCTTAGGACATGGTCTTCACTCTCCAGCAACCCATTGCTTAATTCTTATTCAATCACAATTAGAACTCAGGAATAAATATTTTGCCAGGCAAAAGAGCTAGTATAATACAACTAAAGAAAAAGTTCTGTACAATTTGTAAATTAAACAGATTCTGGGAAGCTAACCGATGGAGATGTAAATAATGATACTGGGAACTTTTACACTAATAAAAAATTTAAAAAATTATGTAAAATTATACTATTTAACTTACCATTCAGCATCTTCCATAGGCATTCTATTTGGTTTTTCAACAATGTCTAAACCATTAACTACCACAAAACGAACCCGCTTTTCTTCTTGAATTACTAGCTCTGGAAACCTAGTCCTTGTTTCAAGAGAAGTGGCAAGTTCTCTTCTCTTATATGTGCAAGGGCCTGTTCGCAATACAATGTCATTAAGATACAAGAAGTAACTTCATTAAAAATGAAAATTTATTACTATTCCTTAAAAAATATATATATATAGAAACTAGTTTCATCTGGCTGCCACTCAATCAAAGAAGCCAATTTCCAAGTATTACACTCTTAAAAAATAACTGCATAGTGCTATCCAAAAAATAACTGCATTGTGGCTTGTTTGAAAACAGTTTTCTGTTTTATTATCAAAACTATTTTAAGAATTGCTATTGGATAATCTGTAAAAGTTAATATGCCCATTAAAACCACTATTTACAACTCTACAATTTTGGAAATAACAACTTCATTTGTTTAACAAAAAACAGGTTAAAAAAAGAGCAATGTAAACACATTTTCATTGAACTTCAAAAACAGAAAACCATTATGAGAGTAGTTGCCAAACAAACCCTCAATTTCCAGAAATACTACCACTACCATATTGTTCTCCCCTGCAGGATTTTTTCACAACAAAATAATCACTGGAGAGAGGTAAACCTAAGGAAAGGAGAATACTCCCCCCACTGCCCCTCCCCCCCTCTATCCTAAGCTGTTCGTCTGAAACACTGCTATAGAGTAATAGTTTGTACCTTTTTTGGGGAATTTCTGAGCCAGTTTTCTGTACAAACCACCAGCTGCTTCAAGGGCTACCCCAATAGTTTTATCACGGATGCCACTCAAGGAAGCAAGCCTCAGGTTTGCTTCACTAACAAGCGTTTCATACATATTTGCCACATACATCAAGGGTAAGACATATTTTGGATCCCCCTCATACTGGACCTCCTTTGTCTTCCTCTTTGTCAACTTATCCTGTCCAGACTGAGAGAGATAATCATTATCAGTCTCAGCCACTTCTGTCACATGATCATCAATAAAATGATCCACAATGATCTGCAGAAATCTTGCTCGTGCTGCTTCAATAGGTGCAATATCTGGACCAAAACTAAGCTTTTATCAATTTATATTTGGTCTAAACAAAAGCCCGTGAAGGCCTAGCAGAGGTTGAAGTCCAGAATTCCTTTTAAGATAAGWGATAAGTTTCAGATATGTCGACAATACCCTCTATTACTAAAGAGTCATATGGCAACCTGGAAGACCCACTATTCTCGAGACTGGAGCGATCTTCTTCTACTCCCACATCGTGAAGGGGTAATGAAGTTCTGTAGGATTCGTGTATGCAATCCTACAAAATGCAATCAAAAGGCATGAACAACTGTACAGTTACAAGAAAGCAGCCGCAACTCAGCAAAAAAATTCGTTATTTAACAGTTGATGAAGCGGAATTTAGCTCTAAGACAATGAGAGGACGTGCTGATTAAGATGGAAGCATGTAACTGCATAAGGGCTTTTATGTTAGAACAAATAATGGAGGGAAACAAAACATTGACCTTGAATTTATGAACATCCCAACTTTCCGTCATATCATTAAGTGATAATTAACTTCGTGACTACTAGAATTCAGAGGTAAACGAGAAATAGCCATACGACAGAGAACGAAGAGTAAAGGGAGACAAGAACACTAACAACAGCACTGGAATCATGGTCATCGTCCAAGCGATCTTCAGTGACGGCGTCGCGATCAACGTCGCTGATGGCTGCAATATCAGAAGGGCTTCCATCCACGGTGTTGAGATCATGCAAAGCGCTGCCGATGAACGAATTCGCCGTTCTGAGATCGTAGCGCTGCACTGGAACTCTGGTAGTCATATCGGTGAAACAAGTACAAGCATCAAACACAGAGAACAGCTCCCAACACAAAAATACCGTCTTCTTCTTCGTCTAAACCTGAACCAGTTCGCTAGAAGCTCATTGCCTGTGACAGGGAACAGAGAAAAATGAGAAGAAGACATTGATGGAGGACGATTGAAGTCAATTTCTGCTGCGATTGTGAATTCGAAAATGAGAAGCAAAGTTTTTAACGGCTATGCGAAGAGATGGGAAGAGGGGGAGAGGGCGGGGAATCCATACCCGAGGCTGAGACCGTAGCTGAGCTTCCGGGACGACCAAAGCCAGTTTCGAAACCTAAATCTGATATCCGCACCACCTCCCAAAGCAAAAACCCAAACAAGTCCACTACAGTGGTACAGATTCCGTGCGGCCGACCTCACCTTTATATCCGTGCACTCTTCGTTTTAGTCTTTAATGAATGTTTGTCTCCATTATTTAAACATTTTTTAATTTAATTTTTATATTTTAACATTTTAAAATTTGGTCTCTACTTATTGGTGTTTTACATCAACATAATATATAATAAATCTGTGAAATTTAGAGGGGAAAAATTTATCAAACTCAAATTTTTTATTTCACTAATTTCTTAGAAATTTACATTAACATTTTTTCTTTTTTAAATTTTTATYGATTCATTAAATATTACATTTATAAAGTTTATCATCAAAAAATTTTAATATTTATTGATGGTGGACGACTAAATTAAAACTTTTAAAACATCAAAAATAAATTAAAAAATACTCCAACATTAAGAATTAAAACATCTATTTAGTCTGATTGTTTTTTCTTAACAAATGTTACATTACAAATTGGGAAAATGCAAGAAGATTTGAACTTTACCATTAATTCCCTCACACTCGGTCTTTCCCAAGCTTGCAATCTTAAAATAAAAAAATAAAAAAAATAAAAACATGTTGGGGAGAGGATTCAAACTTACAAGGTATATGTCAACTACCGTTGAACTATGCTCACTTTAACATATGTTTAGGAGCTAGGATAGAAGAAGTTATTTTGAAAAAATTGATATAAGTATAATTAATTTTTCAAAATCATCCTCCAATGATACTAATTTACCAAACATGATCAATGAAAATATTAGTGATTTTGGCCACTGTCAAACACACCCTTAATTATATTTGTTACCAAGAAATATAGCATAAAATTTAGATTAGTTTAATAATATCTATTGAACATTTGTTAGTGGCAAAACCGGTGAATAAATATGTATACATATACTTTACTATTATTATCTTTTAATTTATATTTTAGGAACGAATTAGGTATTCTGACTTGAGATTAATTAGGTCTTCTAACTCAGAGATGAATTAAGATTTACCTCCAAGACTTTCATCATCATCTACGAGTGTTCAGAGTAACTCACCTAGTCACATAAAATGATAACCATACCATGGTTAACTCTCTCTCTCTCTCTATATATATATATATAAATTACTCTAGCCTTATTTTTAAATATTGATATTTGTATGCAATGATATAATTTTAAAAGAACAATAATTTTGACATTACTATCAAATATGCCCGAAAATGTAGCGTACGATTCCATATAAAAAATAGCAATGATTTGGTTCCTTGTTTTTCACGCAACCGAAAAACAGATAGCTTATGGTTGTTTGTAGACAATAACACTCTGTTCTCTATGTTTCTCCTGCTTCATTTCTTAAAATCATGTACAGATTTTCAAAACAAATAAAATTTTGTACATCACATCACCTCATTTGTATTCCGCAAGGGTAATACAAATTATTAAGCAGGTTCTCTCTTCCAGAACTGTTGAGATTTGGGACTTGCATATAATGTGTTAGGAGGAGCCAAACAAGTCGCAATTATTCAACAATTGAACCTCTCAAAGCACCCTCAACAAATATGGATGGGTTCTGATTCTGCCAATGATTTGCCAGATATACTCTCCAAAACCAACMACCTGAGAAATTCAAAGAAACTTATCTTATAAAAATCATTCACCCTCAGGCTTCAATAGTAAAACTAATATATGCATGCCATAAATAAATTTGACAAATATTCAAATGATCGGAACACCGACATAAAATATTCATTATGTCACTAAGTTCTGTTCTTGGGCATCTGACTAAGTTTTGTTCCCTACAGTAGGACTCCTGAAGATGGTAATGAACAGAAATGGGAACCATCTGAAGCTTTTGCAAGTCACTATCAGTGGAGGTGCCAAAAATCACTAATCAGAAGTGAAAATTGTACTGATAATCAGTTTCACTTGACAAATTAACTTGAAAAAAGAAAGCAGCTTTGGAATGCTTAACCAATGCTATAGCCTTCTTAATCACCATCATCATGTTGTAACGAACTAAATATCTAACAATAGAAACGAGAACAACCACATAAGGATAACTACAGTGTTATGATAAATAACTAAAAATACACTGCTTTAAGGTACATAAAAATTTTAAAATAAAAACACAACAGAGAAGTGCCTACTTATTTATTTACTTTTATCTTTTGATATCCGTGAGTGTCCAGACCAGCTTGAGCGCACCTCAATTAATCTCACAAAACAACTACATGACCCTACTACATTGGATTGCCAAGTTAACTGGTAAGATATTAAATCATAGGTAGGTGGCCACTATGGTTTAAACTTTGAGCTTATTTTTTCTCAGCCCTTTACTATTTACATTTACGAACACTAAGTCAACCCATGATGATTTAGAAGTGGCTCCTCATCCGTGAAGACCTTCCATTTGGAGGAAAAGGAAGTTGATGAGCTTTTTCCAGAGGAAGAAAAATCCTGTAAAAATAAGGGAGAAATATAAGGCATCTCTCAAGCCCCAGAGCAACTAAAAACTACAAAAAGTTGTCCAGCTGCCAACTATAGTAGTAGTACAATAGCTGTAGCAGCTCCTGAAAGAACCATCAACAGGAGACAAGAAGATTACTATAACCAAAAGGATCCCCTAATCTCTATATGAAGAACTTGAAAGACCCTTGTATCTTTCCCTGACTAAATGTTCCAACAAAAAACTAGAACAACATTCCCATTTCCCACACACTGGAGAACAAGCCTTAGCACCCAAAGGGAGGCCACCCAGGCTTTCAGGGCTTAGGAGAGAGGCTGAAACATTCTTAGGTATGGGACCAATGAAAACAATGAAGTCGTGCTATGATCGAATCCATTTGTGACCAATTACATGTATCAAAGGAACAATTATTACAAGAAAGGCAAAGAAGATTCAAAAGGCTTTCACACTACATCTTCAAAGGATGATTAATACACAAGAACCAACGAAGAGTTTTGATCCCAAATTTATTTACAATGTTACTTCAATGAGTCAAGAAGAGAATTGACCAAAGATGGCACAAGAAAAGTTGTCTATTTTGAGAGATGGCACGGAGGACAAAAAAAGTGTGCAGATTCGTGAACAGGTGCCTTTGCAGATTGCACCTCTTGGGAGTTTGTGAAATCAAAAGTTGTCAAACCATATCAAAATGTGAAGCACCTCCTACAGCACATAGGTAAGACCATTTGAAGCGTGACTACGTTTTCTGATCCGCATTTAAGTGTCTAGAATGATGTGCAATCAAGTTTTAATTTGCATGTCTTATTTTCTTCAATTTGCATTAAGTAGTATTTTGAAAGACTTTTGGTGTTCCTATGTTAAACGACCATTTAGTCTATTTAAAGGCTTGTAATCACCTTGTTTTGGCAGATTCAACATATTGAAATTCAAGAACTTCTGTTCCTTAACACATTTGGTGTTGCTTCTTTCAAATCTTGCTTAGGTTTGATATTAAACCGATTCATTGGATCAGTCTCGATCAAGCTAATTCTGGAGTGAGTCGTCTTATGATCTAGGAGTGACCATCGTAGATTCCAAGTCCGATCTAAGAGTGAATCATCTTCTAACCTTACTCTTGGTTGGAATCATTTGGTAAGTTAGTCGTTTTTGTGAATGTTTGCAAGGATCTTAGAAGGACCTCTAGTTTTGTAAACCCGAGCAACCTTGGCACTTATCATGCTAGTTGGGTCAATTTGGTAAAAGTGTCGGTCTATTCAATTTTATATAGTTTCAAAATCGCAAATATTTCAATAGCTTTGGTTTTTAACGAACTGGTTGGTTTCACTGATTTTTGCAGTCAGTTTTGTCAATTTTAGATGGGTTTTGGGTCGTTGGCTCAATCTATCTCTAAAGAAGAGAATTGGTGTAATTTGCTTTTCTATTCTTCTTAATAGAAATTGAGAGAACAGAGGGATGTTCTGACTTCCATAGGAATTTTGCCATTCAAATCTTCCTAGCAAGGTTTGTTGGCAAAAGGCTATAACCATTCATGAAAAAGGAAAATAGAGAGACGCTCATAAACTACTGAAAAGGATCAAGGATCCATTTCAAAGAGTTCTCTCTAGGATTAGGTTGAATGTTGCCAATAATCTCCCTAAGAACCTACCACTCTTCCAATCCAGAGTCTCTCAGGGCCATTCAAAGGCTTGGATTCCAAGAGTTTCAGAAATATAAAGAAGCATGAAGAATGGGTTAACACCTTGCTCATAATAAGCAGTGCCGAGCTTCAAACTTGAATGAATATGCTTCCCTCAGAACCAATAACAGATAGGTATTTTCACTAGAATGCCTCCATGGGAATCAATATCTCTGCCCACACGAATCCTCTTTGGACCTGTAAACCAACATGCCAAATTAGTTGACAGAAGACAAGCAAGATGGATACATCATGCATAATCGTTGTAGAAAAAGTTATTACTTTCAATCTCACGTAAATGGCTATTACTGCCAAAAATTCCACGCCTGTATCTCATATCTAAAAAGAAAATCTTCTTTTCGGAAAAAGGAGGAAGAGGAGGAACAAGACTGTCACTCACATTTTTAGAAGATTGATGATTAATGAAACACATGACATTATGGGATTTTTCTGCAGAATGTCATTTGAAAACTGGAAAGCTACATCTTATCAAATGGAAGATTTTGCATCAGAGCTTCCAAAACCAACATCAGATACATCATGCATTGCTTGCAAGTTCTTCCCATCAAACACAGAACCCATTTGAATGGTGGGTTTCTTGGGTCATCATACTTCTGAATTCCAAATAAATGCCGCATGTGCTTGCGATTAAGATACAACCTCAGCTTCCAGATGCCAAAGATGATCAGATTAGTCATTGGAGTCCTCTTGTTAGACTAGGAACTGCATGGCTGCACTTTTCAGTAATCAAACCCCTTCTTTGCATTTCACTCTTCAATTCAATGGCTTCATCCAACTGTCCAAGCTTGTAATACTCTCTCAATAGACATATACATAAAATCTCCTCAGGAAGTATGCCCTTCTCAACCATCTCATCAAAAAACTTCCTCGCTTGGTGCAGCTCACCGCATTGAGAAAATCCCGAAACCAAGGAAGTGTAAGCATGCAAATCAAACTCGATAGCTAATTCTGTCATTCTACTACTCAAATTCAAAGCTTCCTGAAGATTTCCAAGCTTCAAGTTGCCATCAATCAGAGCAGTGAAAGCTGTTTTATCCGGGGCCATACCCCTACATTGCATTTCATCAAACAACTTTTTGGCAGATTCAACGCAATTTGTTTTACAAAGACCATCAATGAGGGCTGTATAAACTGCAACATTAGGTTGTAAACCAAAAGCAGACATTCTACCAAAATAATCAACTGCTAGTTCGACCTTACCTGTTTTGCACAAACCATCAATTAATACACAGTAGGTTACAACAGTAGCCTCAATACCTGCATCCTGCATCTCCTGAAGAAGATTTATTGCATCTGAGCTTTCTCCAGCCTTAAAATAAGCATCTATAATTGTTGTGTATATAACTGGATTTGCGTTAATACCCCGACTCTTCATTTCTTTAATTATAAGCTTAGTTTCTTCAAGTTTATTTTGACTACAGAGACCCCAAATAATGGTTCCGTAGAGTATTAAATCTGGTTTGATGTTACATTCTGTCATTTGCTTCAATATTTCCATTGCATCCTCCATTCTCTCCGCCTTGATATAGCCATGAACCAAAGCAGTGTAAACTTGCTGGTTGGGAGATATTCCATCTTTCAGCATTGCCCTGTACACTTCTTCTGCCTCCGTCATTCTTCCATCTTCACAAAGGCCATCCATTAGGGCAGTATAAGTGACTATGTTTAAGTTAACTCCTGCTTGCAACATATCGTGAGACAACTTCCATGCTTCTGTCAAATTACCTGCCTTACAATTGGCATCAATCAGAGAAGTGTAGGTGAATTCATTAGGTACAAGGCCTACTCTTCTCATATCAACAAAAAGTTTTATGGCACCTTGCATTATTCCCTCCTTGCAAAAAGCATCAATCAAGGTGCTATAGGTTACAACATTTGGTTTCAACCCATTGTTCTTCATCTCAGAGAGATACTCAAAAGCTCGAGGCATCTTCTCAAACTTGCAGAAACAATTGATTAAAGCATTGTAGGTAATTACATCAGGAACACAGCCTGCACCTTTCATTTCATTAAATAAATACACAGATTCTTCCAATAAACCAACCTTGCCATAGCCATCAATCAAAGAATTATATGTCACAACATCAGGAGAAAAGCCCATCTGCCTCATTTGCACAAACAAACGTCTAGCATTTTCCAAATCTCCTTCTTTGCACAAGTAATCTATCATTACATTGTAGGTAAAAACCGAAGGTGCAATACCAGCCCCAATCATGTCATGGAAAAACTTCCTCACCAACTGTCCTTTCCCTGACTTTGATAACCTATGCAAAAGAAAATTGCAAGAACGGGCTTTGGGAAGAGTTCTAAACTTCCTCATTCTCAAGAAACATTCATTAGCTTCCTCAAGCAGCCCCAACTCTACCAAAACACTAAATAAAACGTCAAAGACCCCTGTTCCTAACACAAAAATATTCCTAGTCGACCAAAGTATATCAAATATCTTACAAACTGGCAAAACCAAGTCGTTCTGGCTCTTCAAAATCACTTCCTTGATAATATCGTGGGCATTTGCGTACATTCTCGCACGAAACAGTATGTGAACTACAATGCAGTAAGCCTCGGTGGTATGGCGGAAACCAACCTGGCTTCCAGCCCATTTGAAGAACTTGAAAGCTAGTTTTGGATCTTCTTTAAATTCAACTAAAATCTTAGAAACCCAAATGGGCGCTAGTGCTGAATCAAACAAAACAACAATCATAGGATCGTTCCAGAGGTCTTGTTGTATTATTTTACGAAGGGAACCAAAGTCTAAGAATTCAAATGAATTATTTGTATTCGAGTAAGTAACAAAAGGGAGCCGAAATATACAAAGAAAGCTAGCGAACCAGAAAGACGGAAAAGAAATGCAATAGCCATTTTTTGATGATGGGGCATTAAATATATTGAAAGATAAGCAACCCGGATGCGAGGAAATCGAAGATAGAGCTATTACTCGGTGAGAGGCTCTGCGGCTAACGTGGAAAAGACTGCGAAAGAAGAGTAGCATCGCTGAGAGGAAGGAAGCGAAGGCCAGAACTTCAACACAAAGCTTCATCCTCTTTAAAGCAATGGATGCTCATGTTAGATCAAATGGGTGGGTGGTAAAATCCAAAGTTGTGGGGTTTTTAGGGTTTATGGGCAAAGGCCAACCGTGCCACCGCGAATCGAGCTGCTTGCGGAGTTGGAAATGCCGAAATCGGCACACCGAAATTCAAAAGCGAAGAGAATCTGAGAATGACTAAACCGAGCCTGGACTCGACGTGAAGCAGCTCAGAAATTAGAAGACGGAAACCCAATTAGGGGAATGACGCGATCGATTTATAAAACCTAACCCAGATTTCTTGGGCCATGGCATCCAAGTGGCAGGCTTCGAAACTCTATGAAGGGGCCTGTTTGGTTTCGCTGTTTATTTTCGAAATTTGACTCAAAATTTAAATGTGTTTTAAAAAAAAAAAGGTAAAAAGATTCTTAAAAAAAATTGTGACAATCATAATTTTCGAAAACATAAAATTAAAAAAATGGTTTTTTTCTTCAAAATATTACACCCGTCAAAGTAAAAAAAAAATTATATTTGATAATTCAGTTTTATTTGCTATCTCTCGTTTATAAAGAAAGCATATTTAAAGAAGGGGTTGAATCCTTAATTTATTTTATCCATATATAAATTATAAAAAAAATTGGTTAAATTACAAATTTCAAGGTGGGGTCTTTGGACAGGTGTGTTTAATAGGTCTCTAAATTTTATATAATATCTAATATATTTTTTAACTGTAAAAATTGTCTTAGAAAATTCTCTCACTTTCAATTTTTTTCTTTTCTAATAGATCTTTAACTTATTCAACTTTTTCTTTTAAAAAAAAAATCATATACTTATTAAATATGAAGTTGAAATGTCATAAATTTATTAGACATAATATTGAAAAAAAAATATAGATACTTATAAAATAGTTTTTAAATTTTAAAAACATATCTGACACCCTTCTAAAAGTTTGAGACTATAATTATAATTAAACCAAAATACAGAGAAGGATAAAGACATAAGGCAAATATATATAATAAGGTTTAAGAATGGGCTATAAAATGTTAATGACATGGTGATTCACAGTGATAAGCTTTTTACGCCAACATAACTACTTCCAAGCATGTCTTTTTAGATTATATAATAAGGTTTAAGAATATATATAAGGGCCAACTTGAAATATGACAAAAAAAAATTAGCAAAATAGGTAAAATAACAACCATGTTGATGTTTTGGTTTTTCAAATATAGTATTTTTTTAAAAAAAAACGGAGGCCAACATATTAAATGACAATATTACCTTGCAGGCCCAAACTCAAGCCCAAAAAATTCTACATTTCGATTTCTCTTTGATTTCTATCGGATATATATGCGATATATTATTGATATGAGTGTGTGATATACTATTGATATGTATATCTGATATATATGTGATATACTATTTATACGAGCGTCTGATATACTACTGATATGAGTGTTTGATATACTATTGAAATGATTGTTTGATATACTACTGATATACTATTGATGTGATAGTTTGATTTACATATGATATAATGTTGATTTACTTTAACAAAAGAATGAAATATGATATTTTAATACAAAAGTGAAAAATACATTCTTACTTTAACAAAAGAATGAAATATGATATTTTAATACAAAAGTGAAAAATACATTCAAAATTATAATTAATAGATAACATTCTCAAGATACTAGCACCAACCAAAATAGAAATCTTTAGAAATTGATCATTTGGACACTTTCTATCATTTAATATTATGAGATGTCCACTACAGTTATTAGTGCATCTAATTCGCAAAATATCTGAAAAGTGCCTACGAAGATGTACTGATGTTCAATCTAAATGTGAACTTTGTAAGATTTGGATTGAGAGAGACTTAATTACAAGTTTAAATTGTTTTAATTAATACCTTAGTATTGACCAGATTCAGGTGTACATTAGATGTATATCAAGGGTAAATTAGATGTATATCGGAAGTATATCAGAGGTACATCGAATGTACATCAGATATGGATTGGATGTGTATCAGATCATATATGTATATCAGATACAGATATACATAATAAGATATCATAAGGGTAAAATTAGAATAATAAAAATTCAAATATTTTACTATATTTAAACCTGTAAAAAATTAGTGACATTTTGTAAAATACATAAAATATTTTTGCTCCTGCAATTATCCTATATATAATAACTAATAAGGTTTAAGAATGAGCTATAAAATGGTGTCTTTTTTAATTATTGTAATGTGGATTTGTTCACCTTTTAGGAAGTACATTTAGGGAGAGTGTTTAAATGTTCAAACAAAGCATGATCTCATTTTAAACTTCTTGGCATTTGCTAATCTTTTTAACTTAGAATATGGTTTTTATTGAACACTATAGTTTAATTGTTTTCAAAAAAGTATGATGATAAAATAAAATAACCACTTCTATTTTTACTTGATCCACCTACATACTCAAATTATATATTAAACAAAGAAATCTAATAAATCATAAAATAGTATTGAAAATTTAAAGTTCTATACTAGATATTTCTTTTCTAACACATTACAAATGGGGAAGTACTCAACTCACATTATCCAAATTTATAATAATGAATTAATTCGGTGGRGATGACAAGGTTCCTCCTCATGGTCGAAGATATAAGCATTTTTGTCTTCACAATTTTGAATTAATTTCAATAGTTCCTATAATTTTAAAATGGTGAATTAGTACACGTGTTGTAATGAAATTTCATAAATTGACTTTCAATCTAATTCTCATTTTTCCTTTTTCACTCCTTTTCCTTCTATTTTTTCCGATGAACTTCATATGTCAATGTAGAGATTCGAACTCACCTATTGACAATATATTATTAAACTAATATGTTTTACCAAATCAACCATGTACACATATTCAAGACCCTCTAAAATTATTTTACAAATCTCAAAATAAAAGGTAAAAACAAGCACACTGTTTAATCGTCGTTAGTTCGACAAAAAAAGTTGTGAGTTTGATTCGAGGTGTTGTACTAAAAAATCAATCTCCAAACAAAAAAAAAAGTCAAACATCTAAACTATTAATATTCATCTATTATAAACCAATACCACCTCAAAATCGTGGCTCTTTGAGTTTTAATACTCTGTACCATATTAATATTCATGAGTTCTATCTCAAAATCAATTGGCAAGAAGAGAAGTAGCTCATGTCTATTATAAATGATTACGAAGTGCATTCACTTTTCGACGTAGATCCTCGAGGTAAATTAAATTTTTGTTATAGAAAAAAGGGTCAAGATTATTAGTACCATCACTATTGTGATGAACTCTCGATCTAAGGAGCCGAGCAACTCCAAAATTGCCATGAATCTTCTCTGCTTTAGAGGATGTCATCGGAGTTTCCACTTCTCCTTCGGAAACACCATTCCGGAGAAGAGGCAAACGGCGACCGTCGAAACGAATCCGACGGCTCCTCCGACGCCCAATGGCACTCTTATAAGAGACCCCAAGCTTTCCTCGCTATCTACACTCCCTGAGTTCCCTTCGTCCGTGGATTCAGTTTCTTCCTCACAAGAAAATGTTTGAAATCCACAGAGTTCAGCGTTTCCCGCAAAACTCGAATCCGGAAACGTATGGAACTGCCCTTCGGAAGGGATGCGCCCCTGCAGGTGATTGTGAGCAACGTTAAACGATGAGAGGAAGTGGAGATTCACCAGTGAAGGTGGAATCGTTCCTGTTAGATTGTTGTAGGATAGATCCAAGCTTTCCAAATCCGTCAATTTGGATAGAGTGCTTGGAATTTTTCCTGATAATTTGTTGTTGCTTAGGTCTAATACATGGAGGTCTTTCAGATTCCCAAACTCCGGCAAAATGATTCCGCTCAATTCGTTGTGGCTGAGGTCCAGCAATGGTGGAAACCCTAAAAGCTGCTTGTATTGTCGTCCTGAGGATTGGCTCTTTTTGATGAAAAACGAGAACCCTTCGAATATTTCCCCCTTTAACGAGTTGTTGAGATTGACGAGGCTCTGGAATTGGGTGATGCTGGTAGGGATTGATCCGGATAACGAGTTGTTTGAGAAATCCAAGTAGAAGAGGTATCGAAATTCACCAATTGAAGACGGAATTTCTCCACTCAATGCGTTCCATGACAGGTCCAGGATCTGCAGCTTCGAGCTGCTGCTCAGCCATGGCGGCATTGAACCGGTAAGCCCACAGTTAGCAATCACAAACAGCCTCACGTTCTCGAATCTGAAGTTGGAATTGGCGGGCATTATCTCTCCATGAAAATTGAATGTCAGAATCAACACAGTCAAGTTCCTACAATGTTGTAGTGTTGTCAATGCTGACGATAGATTACGGAAGCTATTTCTTGAGATCGAGAAATGGGAAAGTGATTTGAGGTTCTTGAAGCTTTCTGGGAAATCACCTTCGAATCGGTTTTTGCCAAGATTTGCAATTCGAAGTTTGTGGCAAGATGAGAGACTTCCAATATGCCCTACGAAATGATTAGAACCAAGATTCAGAGAAGTCAAACGAACCATGGCGGAACAATTAATAACATCGATTGAGCCACTGAGGGAATTATTGTCAAGGCTAAGCGATGAAATGGTTGGTGAATTGCACAAAGAAACTGGCAAAACACCTGTGAAGTTATTCGATGATGCAGCGAATTGCTCGAGCATTGGGAGGTTGAAGAAGTCATCGGGAAGCCAACTCGAGAATTGGTTTGAAGAAATATCCAAGTAGACGAGATTTGAGAGATTCCCAAGTTGAAAACTCAACTCCCCAGAAAACCCATTATCCCGAAGGTCAAGAGTTTTGAGCTTCCACAATGCAAACAGATCTGGAGGCAAATTCCCAGAGAAGAAGTTGGAAGCCAGAGAGAGGTGCTCCAAGGAAGAGCAATTCCCAAAACCTGGTAGAATTTTCCCATCAAATCTGTTTGAAGATAGATTCAATACTTGAATTCGTTTTGCAGTTTTGCAGAACCCAGGATCAACATCTCCAGTAAGTTTGTTCCTAGAAATGTCTATAAACGTAATGGAAGATGAAATGATATTTAATGGGGCATATCCAGAGAGATCGTTGGAACTCAAGTCAACGACCTGTAAATTCTGCAACAGGAAGAGATTCGCCGGAAGAGAACTAGTGAGAAAGTTGGCTGACAAGTTGAGAGTTCTGAGCTGAACCAAATATGCCAAAGACTCTGAAACATTTCCCCTCAACCTCTCGCCGGGAAGTTCCAAAGCCACAACTCTGGAGAAGACACTGGAATCGTTGAAGCCGGACGCTGGTGGATCGCAGGTTACTCCTTTCCATTTGCAACAATTAGAAGAGCCAAAGTCCCAACCTTGAACTGGAGAGTAAAGGCCATTGACGAAGCTTTTCAAGGCTTTCAAATCAGCAGAGTGGCATTTTGCATCCATGGAGGTGGAAAGGTGAGCATTAAAGAAGCAGCACCATAGCGAGTAAAAAACTAACAAAAGTGAAATACCCATTTATGGTAAAGCTGAAAGGGAAGCAAGCAATCTTGAGTCTGGTGGATAAGAGTGCTTCTGTGCTGTGGCGGATATTTCTGGTCCCTTCCAGAGTGAAAATGGCAACAACATGGCGTGTCAAGGGAGAAGAGCAGCAGCGAAGTGTGAAATGAAGAGCTTTTCAAATATCATTTCAAGGGCAAGTAAGTATCGTGTCTATTATTATAATGGAGGAGTCGTTGTTGTTTTGACTTTGAATTCACCTTTTGAATTTGTGGATATAGAATATTAGATTATAGACAGCTCTTATTTTCAAATTTCTTAATCTATCTGCTATTGTTGCCTTCCGGACCAAGAAAAAAAAATTATAGTGGGTTGCCAAACCTGCTGCTAAGTCACATTAGCTCAAAATCCATAATAACTTGGAATAAGCCAGCTCCAAAATTCAACTTGTTTGGTCGAAATGTTTTCTGGGTTTGAAATTGCATAAAGCAAAATTGACTGAGCTAATTCATTCGGGCGCTTGATTTTATTATATTAATTTAGACACCTAAAATTATCAATGGTGGCTTATTGGATAAAGTGAGAAGGACTGGTTCGAACCTCATACGATGGTTAGCATATGTTGATCTCGACGATCACAAATATCAAGAAAATAATTATAATGATAATAATAATTTAGACACCTAAAATTCCCCCACCAAACTATACTGACAATGAGCAGACGAAGGAAATGCATCATAAATGAGGAGGGTTGATAGAATAGAGGAAATGACGATTTCATTTAGTATATCTCTGCTTTTATTATAAAAATAAGTATATGGTCCAACTGTCATACACTTTATTGTTGCTTTTTATTGGTTAGGTAACAGGTCGAACAATGTAACATCAAATATATGTATGCAGGTGTTTGTTTCAGACCACACAGTGACAAACAATTTTTTTTAAAGAAAACTACAGATGGATCAAAGATTCGAATTCTCTATTTTTGGAGGGAATTTTTGTCTCGATTATCAGTCCAAAAAATCTGTTGAATCTCTTTGAGAGATGGAAGCTTAAGATGAAGAAATATAAAATGTTTGTGAATAATTGCAGGAAATAGAGAGAGAATGATTACAGGTATGGGATGGATGGCGGCTCCACAAGGGAAGTATCAAATAATTCAACACGGTGTGTAGTAGGTCTATTTTCCATTCCACCCAATTGACCAAATCAGCCTCCAACACACAGGTAACTACAGAAATGCAATCAAGGGTAAGCAAGAAAGTGATTTTCAGCTCCAACTATACTTTTCATATGAAATAATTTTTTGCACAATAATTTTATTTTTATGTAACGCCTAACAGTACAGATTGGAAGCAGCAGATCCATATTTCCTCCCCTCTCTCCTTTCCTCCCTTTGACTCAAATCTCCCAACCAATATCTGCAGCTGACAACACTTCCCTGTGAATATTTTGTGTGCTGGGGAGCTCAGAGACATGACATCAAGCAGTTCTTTCTCAGCCATGAATTTCATTTTGCCTGATTGGGCAGCCGGGGTGGCGGTAACCAACCAATCAGCGCTACATCATCCTCGTCCTCGTCATCGTCATCTTCTTCATATTTCTTTGCAGTGGCCCTGGTGTTGGCATAAAACACAACCAAGAGCCAAAAGAATGGAGCCGTTGCAATTCTGACCAACCAATTCAAAACAGAACAACATATCAGAAATCACTTCATGCTTCTCTTTATCCTATCCTCCTAACTTACATTACCCAAATGGCCAAATCGATGTATTAACTTTGACTTGGGGTTATCTTTTTATCTCACAGCTAAATAATGTATTAGCGAGACATCTACGTTCCTAAACCATCTGTTCAAAGCAGTAGATGAGAATACAGTCCAAAAATCAGAACGTCTCTCGCACCCATCTGGCCGACATACTTGTTAGAGATCTTACCAGGTTGTACTAGGTAAAATTCTATTTGCAAGATCCTCATTTATAGATACAGGAAGTGGTAGCATTTTGCTCATTATGCCTGGAGTGTCCCTCATGCTGCAAAAGTTTAGAATTCAAAATTAATGGGTATTGAAGGAAGTATTTACAAGTTAATGAAATGAACATCCACGTACTCATTTAGGATAGCAATAATATTATTCCTTGTCCGACAGAAAAGATCAATGTTATCCTGCAACTGCTTCAAAAGATAATATATCATAATGTAATTAAAATGACCAATAGTAGTCTGGTTAAAACATATGCTGTTATTCAATGACACAAGAATATTTTCACATTTATATAAGCTAGCCATTCTGTTTTTCAAAGAACAGAACAAAGACAAACCCATCAATTTGCAATAAAGCATTATAATGAGATTGATCTCGTACTAACATCCACAGGGTGATCATGTTTTGGCAGACTTTTTCTTTTTTCTCCCCGCTATTCAGTGGAGTGTTTGGATCGAGTAGAATGGTAAAATTTTTAGGGGTTAGAGAGGTTTTGGAGGAAAATTTGGTAGTTAGTTAGATTTAACACCTTTGGTGCCATTCTTTAGGATTGGGGTCTGTTCGTATATTCTTTCATTTATTCTCAATGAAAGCTTGGGTAACAAAAAGAAAAACATCAACATGACCCGATACAACCAAGATAAATGAACTTTCAGAATTGAGATATTAGTTTAGATGTTTCTTCTATGATGCATTTAGAAGCTATTACTATTAGATATTCACCTTGTACATGGAAAGGTTGGCAGTAATTTGATTAAAAGCTTGAGCATTCTGTTCCAGAAGATGTGCAGCTGCACTGCTGATCTCTGAGGCTTTGATGAAAAGAAATGTCTCACTAAAAAAAGTGAATAATTTGCGGTTGCTAAGAGCTACTGTAAACAAGTATAGAGGAAGATGAATTTCAACAACGCTAACCTTCAGAAGGCGTACGTTCTTTCCTGTTCATATGGGGCGTCATATGGGAATATGCACCCATGCTCGGTCCGGGGGCCGAAGGTGTGCTGTTTATCTTTAAAGATGACTCCACCAGCTTATCCTGAACATTCACAATCTTTAGGAAACTGGTTGTTCAAATCTATCAGATCATCAAGATATTTGAGGGAACTCATATAAAAACTAGCACTACCATAAGAGAACTTCAGAAAATTCTTAATTTGAACCCATAAAAATAAGACAGTAATGGAAAAAAAAAAGGTCAAAATAAATGCTTTTTTATAACCCAGAGTTAGACCTTTTCTCCCCTGTACCGGGGCGCCCCAAGGCCCAAACCTGGGTGACATCAAAGATTTTTCTTATTAAACTCACTTGAAGTCCGAACATGTGACCTCCGAATAGGTGTTACTCAGATACTACATGCCTTGCCAACAGCCCGCACACATCAAAATAAATGTACTAGTAGAAAAAACATTATGCATACACATAGTTTCATAAAGGTACCTTTCGGTTGTTCACTTTCTTTCCAATATGTTCTTCAGGCTTCCTTCGTTTTCTCTGTAAACAAGTTTATTAGTCTTCTACATGAACTTGAAGAAGGCAGATCATTGGTAATTTACACAGAACAGTATTTTACAAAATTGTATTGGAGAAAGCAACATTCAACTGAAAATCCACAAGCAGTGGTTGAAGTAGTGCTTTTAACTAAATATAGAAACTATTTTACATTCAGTACAAGTCAAGGACAAAATTTGGCACTGCTAAAAAGCAGATTTGCTCTACATTCTCCACAAAATGATGAATCCCAAATAATTTCCATTAACATATGATTCATACCCAAGTCAATAACATAATACACAGAAGTATTTAACAAGATGGAAGTGCTTACAGTCATCCACCTACACCTTAAAGCAACATCCCGGACAGTTTTATCCCGTAACGTGGCAGCAATCTTGATATACCTCAAAATGCTTGGTTCATCAGCAAACCTATCATATGGCATGTAAACAACATGGAATATACTGTAAAAAGATAATTGTTATATGGAACTAAGAAAGAAAGAAAGCATAACCATGGATATCTCTATTCTCTAATGGCTTTATTCAACAAGAAAGGAAGATATACTACACATGAGAAGGAAGAATGACTGGCTTAACATAAAAGAACTTCAAAGGGAAAAGAAAGCACATGAAAGGGGTATATTATATAACAACAAATGGATTCCAGTTTTGATGTAAAATCCAGGTGCCTTGCTGTCTGCATCCATAATGGAGGAGGTGTTGTTTTCCCCCTTTTCGGGATAGGAAAAGGTTTTTGTGGCAAGTCTGTTTCTTTGCTACTTTATGGGAAATTCTGCTTTAGAGAAACAATAGAATCTTTAGGGATGATAGATCCAAAGAGTATGTTTGGGAGCTCATTAAATTTAATAATTTCCTGTAGGGGTCGGTTTCTAAGTTCTTCTGTAATTATTTGGTTTGGAACCCCTTTCTCCAAGGGTGTCTTTTGTTGGGCTGTTTTTTTATATAACCTTGTCTATTTTTTCATTTCTCTCCATGAAAGTTCGGTTTCTTATAAAAAAAGAAATTAAATAACACTGAAAATCTCTTCCATCACAAATCTTGAACATAAATTTCAACAACTCAAAAGCCAATAAATCTAACAGGAATGTAAGTTAGAAGATGGAAAAGGAAGAACCTACCTGACAAGACCTTCCTCTAATTTGAATTGCTCTTCCACAGACCATTCAACCGCTAACCCAGCATCATGCTTGAGCCCGGGCACTGTATCAAGTAGCAGAGAACCAGATGAATTAGCAGCTTGGCTGATAACAGGGTGGTGGTTGTTGTTGTTGTTGTTGACGACACTTGAATTCCCCGAAAACATTATGGCCGACGCACTGTTGACACCAAAATAATTCCCCATTGTCATCATCTCCGAGCTGCTGGTCGTCGCAGTAGACTGAAAAGATATAGCGTGCCGATTCAGAGCGGAGCTTAACGTTTCGTTGCAGTGAAACCCGGTGTTGGATTCTGCTGCCATGATTACTAATCCTCCTATTTACAGTAACTCTCACAGGAATCTCAGCAGAACCATATCCAACCTGTAAATTCAAAAAAACAAAGAGAAACAACACGAAAATTGAATCATAATACACAAAGCAGTCCGAATTCCAGAAAAGGGGATAACACGAGAAGTCTTAAACACAATATGTCCATAATTCCTAAACATCTCAGGCACAAGACAGGAAAAGGGAAAATGCAAGAAAACTCCACAATTCCAAAAGAATCCGACAAAATAATCAGGGAAATGCAAATAGACACCACAAAATACAACAATTAGAGAGCAGCAAAGTTATGGCGGAAACACCCATCTAAACACAAAGCATTTCTAGAAACTCCATGAATCAACAGTTGAAAGCCATGGAACAGCAGAATATTAAGAACCCACAAATGAAAAGGGATGAAGAAAACGAATTAGGGGGGAAATTAAGGTATTACTCACGTTGATTTCATCTGGGTAACGATCGAAATGGCAGAGGATAGAAGCCCTAGGAGCCCCAAATGAAAAGGGGGGAGTTGCAGAGAAGAGGAGAGAGAGAGGAAAGAAGGGGATTACCTTTTTGGGTGCAACTTTCCGACGGAGCCCTGATTGGCTTGGGGTTGGCTGTACTAGCTTTAATATTCCTTTATGAAATCCATTTATAAATGTAGAGAGAGAGAGAGGGCTTGAAAATTCTACAGCTACAGATACAATACAAACTCAACTACTGGTATCCTCGCTCTCCGAGCCACCACCGCACCCAAATTCTCTACGCCCTCCTCCTTTTTCCATTTGGGTCATTCAATTCCAATCCTCTCTCACCTCCGCCAATGAAAAACCATGGAAGATTGGTAAAAAAAAACACAACTTTCGTTTTGAAATAAGCAAAAGCTAGAGAGAGAGAACAAGGGGGTGCCTCATTTTTTCAAATAAATAATGGATACGTTGCTGCAGATCTTGGAATTCAGCAACAGTGCGAATCCCCATAAGCATTTGATGCCAATTATTGTGGACTCTCCACCTTTGCTTTTTTTTTTTTTGGGCTTTTAAATTTTAAAATAAAATTTTCTCTCAAAAAGGGGTATAAATATGAATTTTTGTGGGGATATATTGTTTTTGTGGAGTGGAGTGGGAGTGGATTATAGTGAATGAAGGCATTTTGTGATAAACTATGTCAGTAGCTGTTGTCTCACGCCACATTTTGGGCTCTTCAATTAATTTATTTACCATAAACCAATCCTTTTTTCTTTTTCTTCTTTTTTCACCATTTTTGATTTCTCCCTTTGCCCCTCGTTCAGAATCCTCACTGTTTCAGAATATTTCTGTGTCTCTTTTTTCTCTCATTTGAAAATTGTATGCTTTTGAAAGTAAAGATATGTTTGAAAATGCTTTGGGAATCTAATTTCAACGAGAATACTTTAGTTGTAAGTATTTTAGTAATATAAGGTTTAGTAAGAAGCTATGTTAATGTTTGTAGGGTGAGAAATACTTTTAGTCATGATAAAAATGTGTTAATAGTGCTCCCGAAGATATCATTTGAAAATATCATGGTCACAAATACACGGTGATAATTCAAATTTACTGTTTCTAGAAAAATAAAATTGTCTTTCTTTTAACCATTTTTATGTTAATAATTAAAGGAATTTGTTTGAAAAACATAATCACTGATCTTTCAATTTGGATAAAGTAAGAAAAAAAAAAGGAAAGAAAGAAAAAAATCAATAAACAATGTGTTGCCTAAACAAACCTCTAAGATTATAAAATACATTAATCAAAATATCCTCTATGTAAATGTAGGTTATATGCAATTTCTTTTAAATTCGACCCTCTAATTTGGCAGTTTATGTTAACAAATTATATGCATTTTTAAGTATAAGAAAAAAAATATTTCATCTCTCTTTAGCTCCTATTTTTGGTTAAATTAAGAAACCTATTTAGCTTGATAAATTATAAATTATTAATATAAATGAAAGTTTATATCTATCATTTTTCACGTAATAAATATATCACTATTTAGAAGTTCTCTAGATGAAATATTTAATTATTGTTTTTTTTAAGAAGGTGATCTTAAAAATACTACATTTAAAAACGTTTTAAAATGATTTTTTTTTCAATCATCAACGATAAGTAGAATGAAGATTTAAAACTATKACTTCGTAGAAAGTTATTTATGTTTTAATCAGTTGAGCTAGTAACCACTATAAAGTGATTAATACTACACAAAATCTTTTAACTTTAAAAACTAAATATTAAATTNTTTTTTTTTTTTGTTTGATAACAACACAAGTTAAGGATTGATCCCTCTAGCATAGGAATAATAATACTAACTAACCACCTAAATAACAAAATTTATTATGGTTAATAATTTATGTTATGCATAATGTATTAAAACATTTATAAAAAGGTAAAAAGAAAAGGTTTAAACTTCGTATTGGTCAATATTATACTTTCATTTTATTTAATTTTAGTTTTCGAACTTTAACTTTAAAAAATATATATATTTTACACTCCTAAATTTTTTAAATGTTTACCTACACAAATTAAAAAGAAAAACAATAATTTCGAACATATATGTGTATCAGCATGCACTTATTTATTTATATACTAAAATATTGATGGTTATTTTTAAAAATGTTGAAAGACTAAAATACACCTATTAAAAATTTAGATACCAAAATAAAATAAACCTAAAATTTAAGAACTAAAATAAAAAGTTGAGCACAAAATGTTTCTCATAAATAATATATATAATAATTGTTTGCAACAATCAGGCTGTCCAAATCCCCATTCTACCCCCTCCCTATTCCCAAACCCCAGAGACACCCCCACCCCAGAAAAATTGGCATTCTGGGAAAACTTAGCATAGAGGTGATAACTGATAAAGAAGAAAAGCTATATATTATTTACAATAATTGTTGGCAAGGGCATGCCATGACAAAGCACACAAACAAAACAAAATCCTTGAAGATTTTTGTCCTTTGTAATGGGAAAGTGATCATCAAGAAGAGTTCATGGTCCAATTATAGTTCTGGTAGGCTATGTTGACTGGACCTCCATCTCCCAAAAGGTGTGTCAAAAGGCCTGCTTTCTTGGCATCCAAGAAGCTCATGATCCACCTCAGAATCTCTTTCTCATGTCCAAAGTCCACACTGAACCTGCAACCCAACAACCATTTCAAATCTGCAAAAGTACTAAATTATATACAATATGTCGGGGTCCCCGACGACATATATAGTTGATTTCAAAAGTTTCAATGTTATCCCAATTTTGGGTAGTTTAGCAGAAGAGATCAAAGGGAGAAAAGTAAAATGAGGAGTGAAGTGAGTTTGATGAACCAACCACTTGATAATGCCAGTGAGGTACACAGTTCTTTTGTCCAAGTCAACCTCCACTCCCCCACTTTGGAAGAATTCCCTTGCGGCGCATCTCAATTCTGCTTCGACTCCTTGAGGAGTATAGAATCTCACTCTTGGGCTTGACTTTGTGCCATTGCACAGTCCAAAGTGAATTAATGGATTCACTTTTCCAAACGCAAGCTGACATGTGTTCATCATATTCAGAGAATGAGTTTCAAAAGATGCCATCCCACTCACCCACCATCCCATCCATCCTCAATAAGCACAAATATCATAAACTCAACCAAGAACAACATGAAATTACCCAACCCCCCCTCCCTCCTTTCTTACCACCCCACCACCTTCTTTATATATCTAATCAGAAAGAGCTATTAGATTTGGCAGAGCATAACTTGAAGAAAACAAGGATATGATGCTGAAGGGCTTCATAATAAAGCAAGGATCTAAACTAGTTCAACTATCATCGGTTAATAATATGAATATAATATTAAGTATATCGAATCTATCATCTTAATTTTTTTAGTTTAGTGGTGATTTAACCTGATGTCAGAGCATGAGGTCCTATGTTCGTTACTCTAACATGATAGTCACTTGTTAGGTCTTATGTTAACTTTTCAAGCCTAAGAATATGAATAAAAGTTTTAATGACCTGTTTGTAGCCTATCAGATTAAGCTTCTGAGTTCAGTAATAGTTTAACTAATAACGGTCTCGTTTATATATCTAATCAACTAGATTTGACATGGCGTAATTTTTCAGAAAACAAGTGATAAAGGGCTTCAGAACAAAGCAAGGATCTGAACAAATCAAACAGAATCAGAACAAAAGTATCACAGAAGGAATGGTATCGACCGAAGGTAAACAGATCTTATTCCTTAATATTGGAAGAACAAGGGGAGTAGGGAAATGAGATAAATTTACCTCCAATCGCTTGTCGCCGTTGCTGAAGGGCTTGACAAAGGAATATGGTGGCCTCTTATTACCTCTGAGAATCCCATTCTTTATGGCCATTAGTGGATAAGGCTGTCCACCCACCAAGTACTGGAAGTCGGAGAAGAAGGATTTTCTGTCTATTACGCCCTCTGGTCGTCCAAATCTGATTAAGCCATGTATGACCATGGCATTGTACAGGTTTAAGAAGAATGCCAACTTTTCATCATGCGACAGTTCCAAGAGGTTCACGCGGTGAAGTTCAAGTACTAAATTTATATACCTGCATAAGTTTTCATGAGGGAAGGAAGCAAATTAGAAGTGGTGAAGAGGCAAAAGGAAAAAGAAAAAGCCTTCCCAGAATGAAAGCTTGAGAATAGGATTGAAGATGGAAATACTAGAAATATGCTGTATATGGCTAATTTGTAGGAATGAGTAATGGGTATCAATATTTGTTTATCATCTAAAATCTAACCGTAATGAACCTTTTTAAAGGAATTCTTATGCCTAATTAATAGTTATCTTCCAAATTTCGTCCCCCTCATACATAGTTTCAATAATACGATCCTAAATAGTTTTAAAAGTTTCAATTTGGTCTAGTAGTTTGATCGAATCTTACAAATTGTTCTTGTCAACCTTCTAAATTGTTACCATATTGAACATGTGATGTTTTCTATAGACGTGGCAACAAACACTATATTTGCTACTATGTTAGTCGGTTATATTAGGGTTAAAATGAGGAGTTGGGTAGAATACAATTTAGGTCAGAGACTAAATGAAATTAAGTTTAAACCATAGATACCAAATTGAAAGAATTTTCAAATCCAGACCATAAATACCAAATTGAGAATTTAATATTAATTAACTGTCCTGAGTTGAATTAAATTTATCATATTTGTCTAATGAATCAATTCACACTAATTTTAAAACTAATTACATATCATTAAAAACGAATACATCAAATTAAGTAATTTGTTACTATATTAACTATTCATGGTCAACATAAGACATCAATGCTGGATAGTAATTATGCTAAATATAGAAATGAGTTTAAAAAAGAAGAAAAAAAAAAAGAACCGTTGTTCATTAATGCTAATTACGTACCTTCGAAATTCTTCACTGTTGCTAATGGAGAGATAATCGACATGTTGAAGGTCTTCAGAGGCATAGGATTCTAAAATGGCGGACATGATCTTGGCCAGTCTTTGCGCAACAATGGCAGCGGGCTTGGGCTGGTTGTCGTTAACGGATCCCAGGAAATTGAAGCACCGAGGAATAAATGGCCCATGCTCCAGGAACCGGTAGAAATGGTTCCCATCTTCAAATTCATTTTCCCTGTATTTCACCACAAAATAAAAAAAATAATAATAATATACAATATAAGACTCAGCCTTTTTGATAATTGAGATTCATGGATGAGTCAAACTTCATAAGTGTCGTCTATTTGACTAGTTATATTAGGAAATAAAGCCGAGTAAAAAATGGAAAAAAAAATGATAAATTTTTAACATCCATTATAGGACCACATTAAAACTTTTAGAATGACTTGATCAAATAGAAAATAAACTCAAATTATAAAATCATAATAAAATATTCAAAACCTTACCGACCAAATTCAAATCAAACCCAGAACTAAATTGGTAATTTAATTTAATCTAAAATTAGCTTCTAAACATTTGTTAACATAAAAATAAATAAATTTTAGACTCAAACTTAAAAAAAGTACACAAAATACTACCAACACTTGCAATGTATGGTGTGAGAGGGGGAATTTACCCAAAGACATGATGAATAAAGAGCTTCCGCGCCATTTGCTTTCCGATTTCAACAGCCTACAACAAACATTTAGAAAACTTAGTAAAAAATTATCTTTTTAAAGCCCATGAAAAATAAAAAGTTCTATTCAAATTTTAAAATTTAATTGCTTATACTAAAATAATTGGACAGATGTAGCATAGTAGAATATCAAACAACAGCACTTGCGATAATTACATAACTCAATCCACAATCATACATTATTGGCAAAGCTTACAATCAAATCAAAGACCTTTTCAAATTCAAGAAAGTAAAATAAAGCARCATATTGGTCATCTATCTATAATTCTATGATACGGTTTAGTTTGGTTAGGCAAGCAACATATTAGTAATTAATTAAAGATGCAACTAAATGTGATTAATAATTCCCATAAAATCATAAGATCCAGTTTTGGGAACAGAGCCAACCTCCTAATTACATCTCACAAATTTACAACGCCCCTCCATTTTGTAGTTTCTATATCTCATCATTTCACCCCCTTGCCTTGTTAGTTGTTTGTTGTTCCCCATCATTAATGTCGCCCGTGCCACACGGGGTAACTTTCCATACGCTTCCCACTGGTCCTGCCCTATGTAAGGGCAGTTTCGTCATTTCATTCGTCCTACTTAGTAG